CAAGGGTCTAACTCTGTACATGCAAGCCCCTTTCCTCTACCCTTGGCAGATATTTTCTGCTTCAACTCATCAGGCTATGATGATTTTAAAACAAAAAAAGAAATAAAAATAAAATGGTGAACTGTTTTCAGGACTATTAGGAGCCTCTTGCAAGGTTTCTATGCATGGACTCCCAGCAACCTCATGGACAAACAGACCAGACTGCTTAATCCTGCACCATCTTCTACCTCCTGCTGGGTTTTGAATCACCACGTCAGTCCTTAAGATTGGGGATTTTCTTCTTTCTCATTTTCCTTTTTCCAAATGTGACGTCTATCTCCAGGTCCTGACCCCTCCAGTTCACTTCCCAAAGTATGTGAGATAAAGTCTCATTTAAAAGAATCATTCTGGGAGGAGGGCTGGGCGGGGAGAAAAGTGCAACAGTGAATGAATGGAAATCCAAAATCTCTGTAAATGTTCATGAACATTAATAATAATTATAATAATTATAGAATCATTCTGATTGACAATATAGCTCAGAATGGAAGACATGGCCAGAAGGGCCAATCTGAGTAATTCATTACATCACACTGGGCTTGTTTCAATCTCTATCTCCATCCTCTCATGACTGCACTTCTCTCTTTCTCTTTTTTATAAGGCCATCAGCCATAGTGAGTTAGTGCTTGTCTTACTCCAGTGTTATCTGTTTATTGCACTAATTACAGTTATAAAGATCATATGTACAAATAGATGACAGTAGCCTGGGAAAATATCACAGTATCTTTTCCTTTTATCAAGATTTAGGTGAAAGTTTCCAGAAGTAAATTTGTTTCCAATGAACAGTCCAAAGCCTTCGATTCCTGACATCCGGCTGCAATCTTTACAACAGTGTAACATATAAGATGACAACATTCGTCTTACATTCCCCGACTTGTAACCGTTCTATTCATGCATGTTTCTTATCCCTTCTTGCTTGCTGAGCTCTGTCCCTGGACGTGTACGCCCCTGGGATGTTGCATGGTGACTGCTCCAGAGTGTGTACTTACTCTAGGGTTATTGTTCACTTTACCAGGTTTGAAAGTTGAACCATAGGAATGACTTAATGGGACAAAAAGGGGGGCTAAATCCTAAAGACTTAGGCATCCCAAGAGTCTCTGTTAGGCCAATAAATATGGCCTTTAAAAATGACTTTTAGTTTAGTTCCATATTTCTCTCCTACACTACCTAGGACCTTGCTTTTTGGTCCCTTTCAGAGCAGTGAACAGTTGACATTTCTGTTACCTCTGAGCATTTACCACGGCTTCACCAGGTTTATGTATTTTGGGAAGACACTCTCCTAACATACTTGAGTCGTTTCCCCACTGTGCTTTGTGTGACCTGGACTTAGCCAGCCTCAGATTCAATCACAAGTGTGTCCTTTCCAGTTCTGGGAGATCCTACAATTGTTGCCTTTGTAGCAATGGGATGATTGCTGTGGTTTGGATGTCTCTCACAGGGACACTATGATCTATTGTAAAAATGGAAGGAGTCTCAGAAAAATATAGGATTTCAGTTTCCTGTGGGGTCCAAGCTGCTTTCCAGGTTGGCCCAGTGTCTTTAAATGAGTGTCCATGGAGGCAGGTCCTCTTGGTTTGGGAACACCTCAGGTCTTCTCCAAGGACATGAGTATCTACTCATGATTCTTGACTGGTGAATAACAACACCACCGTGGGTCTGTGGAGAGGGCTCTTCTGATTGGGAGGAAGATGGTAGTGGTGTTTGCTCTCTGACGGTCCTTGTGGTCCAGTTGCACGTATGTCGCCGTCCGGGAGTTTCATAAGCCTACAGTGGAGGAATAGTGAGTGCACAAAGTTGGGGTGGGTCATCACCTATTGCCTTCATGTTGAATGTCACTCATATTGAATTGAGCCCCAGGATTTCCAAAGTTGTAAATCTTTATAGAGCCAGCTTGTCACAATTTCCCTAGCAGGTCTTGGTGTATTTAATCTATTACCATTTTGGTTATAAGTGGAGTGTTTAAGCTTGTTTACAACCTTGAACCCTATGAAGCAGTTCTCCTCTCTTCTCTTATGTTTCTATGTGTCAAGATTGACTCAGAGTTTCACATCCACAGCCTTGTACAGTGGAAGTGAGATCTGAACACTTAACACTCCCAGGGTCAGGAGATGAGACAGTGGCGAGGGTAGAGAAGACCTGGGAGGGACAGGGGGTGGTCACAATAGCCCTGAGAGCAGACAGATGCAAGACCCCAGTGATGGGGCACTGCAGAGAGCTGGGTGCTGGGAGGTGGACAAGTGCCTGTTAGATTGAGTTGATGGACAAGAACGTTGTTGGGGCATCATCAGAACAAGAGGAAACTTACCCAACTGTCCAACTTCTCCACTTCTTCCTCAGGCACTTTGTGGCTCAGGCAGCATCTGTTGGGGGAAGAAGGATGTGGTCTTGTGTCTTTGTAAGACTCTCCAAGACCTCCCTCCTCCCTTCCTCAATGAGGAGCCTGAGACTGAGGCTGAGAGAGAGTCTGTGATGTAGCTGGGAACTCACACTATCAATCCATGCTGTCTCACTCCCAGGCCCAGGACCATTTCCCACCACCGTCCCTCCACCCAACTGCCCGCTGATGATCAGAGACCCCAGACTCCTCCGCTCAGCATAGCCCCGTCTCTCTAAGGTTACTTAAATTAAATTTCTTCTTGGATTTCAGTAGCTGGGTTGGAAGAAGGAGGAAGAGAAGAGTATTGGCTTGTGAAAAGGGAGCTGTGGGTGATGGTGGGAGGCTTGGGGAGTCTGTGGACTTCTTATCTGCTGGACTGGCCTTTGTCCTTGCTCTGTGACACTGCGGCCCCTGCCAGACATTGAAAATCTGCCTGCCCTCGTCCTTTCCCTCACAGCTGATTTAAGATCTGCAGCAGATGAGAGAACTGAGAAAACGGTGAACCTTCCCCCACTCCTCCTCTAAGAAGATGCAGGAAAGTCTATTTAAACACTCAAAGACACCACATATATTTCTGTCTTAAGGAGCTTTGATAAGCTGAGGGTCCTTTAAAGTATTTACATCTATGTTTCTCTCCCTTTTTCCCTTCTTCTGATTTTGTTTGGTGCAAATATATACAGCAAAAGCTCACTTTGTGGCCTTAATGACCAGAGATGTTGGAGACGCTCTCCAGATCGAGTCAATATTCTCCACGTTTCTGGTGAAGCTGTTTCGTTTAAATCAATTTACTCTTGCTGACCACCGATATTTCTCATCTAGGCTTTCGGTCTTCCATTCAGCTTTTCCTTTTCTCAGGCAATGCTGTGCTCCAGTGAAAATCTTTCCTTTTTCGGGCTGAACAAGTTATTTCTTTTTTTAAATTTTTATTTATTTATTCTTTTTATGTGTGTACCGTCAAATTGGATCTGACTGGTACAGGAGGCGATTGTTCCTCCTTCAGCAGAGCATCTGGTGGATTTGAACCACACACTTCTGGGATTGCAGTGCAGTTTCCTGCCACTAGGCCACCAGAGCTCGCCTGAACAAGTTATTTAGTCTACAGATAACATCAGTTTCAGTTCATTGTGCCAAAAACATAGCTCAGACCTGTGGTCCTGGCTGTAGCCCTAGTCTCAGTATAGGTTCTCAGTCTGGGTTTTGTTTTTTTTTTAATGTAAGGTTTTGTTTCACATATTCGCCCTCTTAATCAGAATTGCTAGGTTGTGTTCCTGGTTCGATGGTCACTTTTGAAGTCATCTTTCTAGATTTTGGGTTGTGACGTGGGGAAGGCATTTCCCCCCTGACAGCGCCCCTCACCTCAGCACTCCTTGCCTGTCCCCTGTGTGCACCATTGTTCTACCCTCAGGAACCCAGACTTCCTGTGGCCACATTGTCCCGTCCCCACTGTCATCACTTACTGTGTGTCCTCTGGCATTTGTGATGGGTGAAGAGAAGGAGCAGAGAGAGGAGGAAAAGGAGGAAGACGTGGACCCCCAAGTCCCCGAGCAGCACTTTCAGGTACAGGGGGAGACCTGGGGTGTGAGCGACAAGAAGAAAAGGTCAGCGTCTGTCCAGCACGTGCTGGGGCCTTTGCGTTCATCTCTTTGATCCTCAGAGCAGCCAGACCTGAGGCTCCCAGGTCCAGGTCACCCCTTCACAGGGGAGCAAACGGCCATAGAAAGGGGTATTCTCTGTCACGTGTCACCTCGCTGGAAGGAGCGGTGTCAAGATTGGAAGCTTCTAAATCTATCTCCAGGTTTCTAACATGCTTCTGGGGGCTGTGATCTGTGGGAAGTTGCCCTGGTCACGAAAGGTGGCACTTCTCCGGGTGTTCGGAACCAGGCTGGGCTGTGCAGGAGGAAGATGATGCTTCCCTTCCCGTGTGGTTTACAGCCTCAGGAAACCTGCTGGCCAGCAGCTGGGCGCCATTCTGACTGGACAGTGAGAAAGCCCTCTTCCTCCCCCTCCCTTCAGCCAGACCATCAGGAGGGACGTCTGCCGCCCAACTCCCATCCCCACCCCTCCATCAGCACAACTGCTCTCTCCCTGACGCTGACACCCCACAGGGCACATCTGATATAGGGCCAGGGTCTGGGAGAAGGCTCGAGGCAGAGGTCAGCACTCTCCCCGGTCCATTCTCCAGGCCCAGCACCTGGACTGATGTGATTTTTCCGTGTTTTAGGGCAGCTCTGAGGGAAGTGGTGCTAGGGGTGCAGTGAAACTGAGACTCAGAAGGGGAAGTTCTCCTGCCAGAGTTCTCACAAGCTTCAGCTGGTGCAGCCTCCTCATGGAGTTTGGGGGTGAGAGGGATGATGAGGGGCAGGAGGAGTGTGACTTATTAACTTCATGGGGTCTGTTTCTGGGAGGGCAGGACTCCCTCAGATCGTGGGAGAACAAAGCTGGGCTGCCATGGCCCAGGCCTCCCCTCATGATACCCACATGAGACTGCATGCACCCCAGAGGGAAGGAATGGTCACCTTCCCCATCAACACAGGAAGTTTTACATTACCCTGCCCCCCACGCCGCTAAGGGGGAGCCCCTGGCTTACCTCTGACCACCTCGGATCTCAGGTCTCTGGGGAGCTGGTCCTCAGAGCTTCCTGGGGAGCAGGGCAGAGTGAGGGGTTCAGCTCCTGCTCTCGTGCTGTGACCACCCCCTGCTCCTCAAGCAGCACCCCAGAACCCCTCAGAGCCTGGGCTCCCCACCCTGTTCTCTGCTTGTCCCCTGGCTCCCTGACCCAGCTGTGCTAATGTCACAACTGACAGGGCAACAAACACCAAACACCAAACAAAACCAGGACGGAGGGACGCGGCGTCACGAGGAACAGGACCCTGAGAGGACCTGGGCGATGTGGTGTCTGCATGTGACGACAGGAAAACGGATTGCTTGGAGAGTCAGTGGGGATCAAAGCTGGGGTTCCTCTGGGCTCCCCTTGGCCAGTGTATATCCTGTCAGCCCCCGGACCCCACCAGTCACGTCTTTGGACCTCGGAGATGGAGACTGAGAGAGTGAGGCAGGAGGGAGACTTGTCCGTCCTTTTGTCTCCCCACTGCGTGTCCACTGACCCCGTGAGAGACGGGTCTCCCCTGGGTGACTGTCCTGCATCTGCGTCAGTCTGGTCCCCTCCTCGGCTCAACGCTCTGAACTGGCCATGAGGACACTGGGGGTCAGGGCCAGGGTTCCTCACCTGAGACCACCAGCTTCTGAGTGTCACTGGGGCTTGACAGCAGGTAGGGGGAGGTGCTGTGTGAACTGTAGCACCTGTAGGTCCCCGCGTGGGCTGCGGTCACAGATCTCAGGGTGAAGCTGACCTGGAGGGACCCAGCTCTGTTCTGCACGTGATGACTCTGGAGAGGTCCTGCGTGGCCCTCCTTGAACAGGTGGAAAGTGTCAAACCAGCTTTCTGAACGACACTGCAGGGTCACGTTCTGTCCTGAGGTCACTGTGGGGCCCGGGTGGGCTGACAGCGTCGGCTTCCCATAATATCCTGTGATGGCAGAAGGATAGGGGGTTGAAGGAGCTGCCCGTCCCCATGCCTTGTCCCCTCCAGGGACCCCCTATCTGGGACCTGTCATTCACCTCTCAGTGTTCAGTGGGGTCTCCCTTATCTGCAGCCGTCTCACTCCCCCATTGTCATGCCTCCCTCTTCTCGGCTCTGCTGTAGGACCTTGTCCCGTTAAATCTTTCTTCATTAGGAGGACCCCGGACCCCAAGTTGAGTAGGTCATCTGGATGGGGGGGCTCCACACCTGCCACCAGGATGTCCAGCGGGTCACTTGGCGCCGACCACAGGTAACGGTCAGGTCCACTGTAGCACCTGTACCGGCCTGAAGTGTTCCAGTTCACAGGGCCCAGGGTGAAGTTGGGACTCTCCTGGCTTCTGTCAAAGTACAGAGGACGTAGAGGCTCTTCGTTCCTGGTGAGAGCAAAGTGGTGAAATCCAGTCTCGGAGCCACACGTCAGGGTCAGACGGTCCCCAGGCAGCACTGGAAAGCCTGGCTGGGTCCACAGGGAGGGCTTGGCGTACACCCCTGGGAAGAAGGAGACGGGGTGTCAAAGGTGCTCCCCTCCGCACACTGTCCCGGGAGAGCTGCACTGAGTCCTCCCTGGTCGTCACACTGTCCTGTGTGAATCCATCCCTGCAGGTCACTGTCATCAATCACCTCGTCCCCATGGGGCTCCCCTGAGACTTGGATCTGACATTTTAGGGCCCCTGGAAAGAAGGGAGGTTGGCCAGGGTTCCCTCACCTGTGACGTGGAGATCCAGCGGGTCACTGGGATGTGACCAGCGTCGGATGGAATATGAGACATAGGAACCGTAGCATCTGTAGGTGCCTCCGTGGGAGCTGGTCACAGGGCCCAGAGGAAAGAGGGCTTCATACAAGCCTGAAGACCACTTAGGGTTCATTTGTCGGGGAGGGTCGGCTCCTCCCTCCTTCAGCAGATAGAGTGTGTCCACTGTGTTCTGTGATCTACACCAGAGAGATACGTGTCCTCCTACGGTCACCACGGAGCTTGGATGGGCTGAGAGGGAGGTTTGTGCATCTGCGTACGCTCCTGAGAGAAGGAGGGGGCTGATTTATGAGGGATACAGGCACCAGTGTCACCTCACAGGTGTCCCCTTGGAGGTGTGAGGGTCCCTGCCCAGAGACCACAGTGGATTCCCAGTTCCTGTGCAGAGTCCACGCTGGAGGGAGGTCACAACTCCTCGCTCTCACCTGTCACGGTGAGGGTCAGGGGGTCACTCAGCTCTGAGCGGCCACTAGAGCTGAGATGTGCACACTGGTACCGCCCAGCATTGTGTGCATAGGCTGAGAGGATGATGACGTGACCTCTTATGTCCCTTGGATTACTCCGGGTCATAGTCCTAATGAATGACCCTCCTTTATACAGTCCGTAGTCACCAGTCTTCTGAGATCCCTGACACCAGATGGTCACACGTGTCCCCTCATGGATGGTGGGCCCTGGTTCAGCCCAGATGGAGGGTTTGGAGAAGGTCCCTGGAAAGAAATCAGACCAGGGATTCCTGTCCCCTCAGTGTCCCCAGCTGTCAACTCAGCCCCCTCCCAGACTGCTCCCCC